AAATTAATCTCAGACCATTGAAAATGGCACCATATTTTACAGAAACGTATAGTCATCAGTAAATATGTTTGTTTGTTTTAGTATCCAAAAGCCATGAGTTGTTAACCCTTAGACTCGGTATTATGGATATCGCAACCTTTCGGCCTTGATTCCAGTGTAAATACCGTAAATCTGGGCGAAATGTGGCTTTTCTGCCTACCCCCGGGAGTGAACCCGGACCACAAGGAGTTCGTCCACTCGCTCACCGCGCAATCCGGTTTAGCCAACTATGCTAGAGAGACGGGCATCAGTATATATAAATAACGTTAGTTTACAAAAAAATCTTCAAGTAGCTCCACGGCCCCTTGAAGTGGAAAAGGGGGAAAGGCCCAATTGTCCTTAACAATCAAACAACATGTTATAAGCATGTTATAAGAGATGACCAACTGAGAGTTTGCAGAAACAATTTTTTTTTCGAAAGGCACAGATATCCCGGCTTAGCTGTAAACCACAAAACAACGTACTAACAGGCCCTTTAAACGCGAAGTCAAAATAAGAAGAAAAATGAAAACATATTTCACTCACCTATTTGTGTGACAACACGGTGTGTCTCCTTTTGGATTGCAGATAGATTTGAACCACATGTGGGGGTACTGCGGAGACCGTTCGTATGCAACATCCCCACACTTCCCATCAGCCCTCTGGTAGGAGGCAGGAATCCGATAAAATCCCCTCTCCTTCTGTAAGTAGCCATCAATCGTCTTCTGCTCCAGTTGTGTCAACGGTCGTTTCACCCACTGTCCTTTGACCATGCCTGATAAAATATTCGGGCAGGTTTTTGCTTGATTCTTCTCCTTTATCGCGTTACTAAATGTACTTTTTGAGCCGTGGACACTTGAGTTAACTATGTTTAACTCCTCGGAGCTCGACTGACTTTGGACATGAGTGGACCAGTAAGGGTGCTCCTCTGTTAGTGAAAACTTACTTTCAGGTATGAACTTCAAAGATGCAGAACGGGTTAAAGACAGAACGATGACACCTGCGACTCCAAACAGGCAAATGCTGATGAATGTCAGCCTTCTTCTCATTCTCACCTAGTTTTTGTGATATAAAAAAAACTTTTATAAATATATATATTCATAAACTCATGTCTGTGTAAGTTTAAGTCTGAGACATATGACTTCTTCTTCTTACAGTCAATGCCATGTGGTGTTGATACCATGTCTACACACGACCTTCTGTCTTATTGTTGTCCCCTTGTGGGATGCAATTTTTCGTTATTTGAAGCCCCCATCCTGGCTTTTGTTGAGGGCCCTGAATATAGCCGAAGCACAAATGTGACCATAACGGCTGAAAGGGGTTTCTGGGATCTCTCTCCACAGGTGATCCTCCTCCGCATGGTGGCAATTTGTGTCAACGGGTGTTTATCGCTTGTGTGATGTCCTGGCGGGGTACAACAAGCAAGCAAGCAATCCTTCTGTCTCGTGTACAATCAATCAGTTCTGACGCAGATGATCTTCCATGCCATGATATCAAACTGTCTAGAATCTTCTTACCCGGTGTCCCTCGGTACTCGCCAGGATGTACTCCGGGTTTCTCCTTTTCATGACATGATCAAAGAATGTATATAGGGTTCAAAGAGACGTTTAGGGCTATTTATTTCGAATGGGTGACCCCCCATCTGCGCTTTGGTTTCCTCTGTCAAAACATCGTCACCGTGATCCTGTTGCTCAATGAAACCTCACATCCAGCTTGCAGTATTTGTCTTTCATTCCGTTATCATCTTGTTCTTTTCTGTACTCCTGGAATGCTTCACATGACAAGAAGAGATACATGGAACGGGCCCTTCTGTTCGCTGCTTTGTATAAAGTACTTTTCAGTGTCTATGATTTTACTGCGGTCCTTCTTCTGCGTGGCCTACCCCTGGTTCTGTAACCGTTTCATCTGAACACCATTGCTCTCTGTGGTGACCTGTCTGATGCCAATAGTGTTCTATGGCCAAACCATTTGATTTGTTGTCTACCTCTAAAGTACCGTATTGGTTCTGTACCGTTATCCGTAATATCCTGCACAAATGGGTAAGCTCGTCACGCAGTAAATACAATATGAAGATGAATGTAAACAAAACCGAACCAAAGCAAATCAGTAGAACCCCTGGTCCACTACATATACAGCTGAGTGGCCCTGGGCCTAAAACACGTTAGGGAATTTAAATATATAGAAAGTGTTTTCGCGGAAGATGGTATAATTGACAGAGGAATAGAAACCATATGTCAGAAAGCAAGTGCACTTATTTACCAGTTGTCATAATTATTAAAACACCAAACATAACTATGAGTGCAAAGAAATAGATTGCAAACAGCATATTCATTTCCACACTGAGCTATCAGTGCCAAGCATGGACATTATCTCAAGTCCATGTACCTAAAATCACCACCTGCGAGATGAGATGCCTGAGAAAAGCCGCCAGCCTAATTATCCGAGTTTGAATGAATAATGAAACTGTCAGACAAATTGTGGGAACGACACCTTGTACTAGATTCACTGGGAAACAGCAGATCAAGTGGTTTGGTCATCTCGTTAGAATGCAGTCACAGTAAATACTATCACATGCATTACATCGAAGAAGATCAGCTACAAAACCAGGAGGCCCGACGCAAATATAGATCGACATCATTAAAGACACTTTACGCCTTCACGGTATAACAAAAGCTAGTTCCAACCAGCGTCCACTGGATCGCAAATCGTCCCTCTCCACAGCGCTTAAATGCAGAAGTGGTTATGATGATAATTTGTTGCATAGTTGTTTCAAGTCTACGTCAGTTAAGTTAGAGACGCTAAGAGCCATTGATTCTGCTCGGATACCTCAACCTGAGTTAGTTTCCCACACGCAACCATATCAACATCATCATCAGAATCATCATCATTATTATCATCATCATTATCATAATCCTCTTCCTCAACATCATCATCATCGCCAACATTGCCATCCGATGTTGTCGCTATACGTCACAAAGGTGGTTATGATGGCGCTTATTCCACCGTTCCGTTATATCACGTAGAACTGTTTCAGGTCTTTGTAAGTTAAGACAAAGATGTTAAGAGACGATACCTCCAGATGGGCTTGAGATTCCTCTCACAAATCATCACCACCCCACGACGACGACGACAACCACCACCACCACCATCATCATCGTCAATATATCATCATCATCATCATTATATATAGCAGTAATACTTTGGAAGACAAAAAAGTGACTAGTACGATGAATTGGATTCTAGTAAGGAAGAGTTGACCTCACTCTCTCGCCCGTATCCATCTGAATCCAGTGGCAGGACAAGTCGAGACGGCTGGAGATGAAGTCAAATGCAGTGGATGACCAGGGAGTTCTACGTACCTCGCCGTGCTCTTGGCGCTTCACAGCACGTTGCTGGTACCCACCATAAGGTCCGTTGAACCAAGTACTGGCTCCCTCAGCACATTCAGCGGAGTGCAGTCTTTGCTTGTCAGGATAGGCAGATCCCAACTCACCGAAGGTTTTTAGACCATTTGGCCACCCTCACCTGGTTAAGCCGACATTTCAAAGCAGTCGCCCGGAAAGGGGGTGGGGGTGGGGAGGATGATTATGGGGGGGGGGGGGGGGGGGGAGGGGGAGGAGTCCTGTCTACACTGCAAAAGTGGTCAATGCAGGTTTCTTCTGCTTCTTCGCGTTCACCGGCTGTAAATTCCAGCAGAAAGTTCTGATTGTTCATCCACCTTTTGACTTTAGTCTTGTTCCAGAATCTAATCGTTGCGTGTACATCCGTTTTACATATCTGTTTTTTTTATGCAGACTGTCGGTTCCTTGCCTCTTAGGCAGATGCACTCCGACTTCAAATGAAATCTCAAATTTGTCGACTCTTACGACATGCTTGTTGTTGGGGGGGGGGTGGGGGAGTGGGTCTATTCTTGTCTTCCTCACAATGGGGCCTCGGAAGCCACACGGGGGGAATGCAGGCATTAGTATGTGTCATCTGTCTTTCAGATCTGTATACGGAACATAGAACCTTTTTCACAGTTGGATTCCCAGTTGGTCTCAACATAAACAAATAATTACACAAAAAAAAAAAAAAAAAATTGAGGGGGATGGAGGGGCGGGAGGGTTGTTTTATGGCTACAATTAATGATAACGACGATAATGGAGATGATGATAATGATGATACAACATACTCACTGATCTACAAAGAGAACATTCTAACTTAACTTGCAGGATACGTACACGATTACCACAGTGGCAGCAGAGCTGACGCTTCAGTATAAACTTCATGATTTTGGGATTGAGTTTATATTATGGCTAGGTTAAATTTCGGGCCGCTGGTAACCTTCGGAAAGCAAATATAAACGTAAACACGCAGGCAGAGAGAAGCACACACACACACACACACACACACACACACACACACACAGGAGAGAGAGGGGAGGGAGGAGAGAGAATGAGGAGATAGGGGCCGTAGGAGGGAGAGAGATTTAGGTTTAGGTTTAGACGACAGATCAACATCATGGCACAAGGGTAGTAACACATAAGTGCTCCGTTCTACTTCTGACTCAAGCCTTAGTCCGAAGAATCTCATCGCAGTGCACGAACTCTGTAGCACCGGCGAGGATCCTGAAACACTTTGAGTAGCTTTAGCCGTTAGGCTACTCGTTTTCGATTTCCAACTGCCAAGGGATATTTTACGGGCGCAACAATACGCACGGGCGTCCGGTCTTTCTACCCAGAGGCCAGGGGAAATTACTAGATTTCGCCCGTGAAAGAATCCCAGCCTTCACCGGGGCTTAAACCGAGGACCTCCAGCACTCAAGGCCTCGAGACCAAGCAGCTATCCGAGGGAGAGAGAAAGGGGGAGAGTCAGAGGGAGAAAGAAGAAAGAGATAAAGAGAGATTATAGGATGGAAAATGGGTTGTAACTAAAATTAATACTATTTTTCTTTTTCGTTTGAGCGTTCTTCTTAAAGTCTATAGTGTGTGGCATTGAAAGTCCTGTCCATCCACAACCTTCTGTCTCGTGTACTTCCAATCAGCTCTAACACAGATGATCTTCCATGCCATGATGTCAGACTGTTCAGCATCTTTTCTCTTGGTCTACCTCTGCCTCTCCTCCCCTCAAACTTTCCTACTGTTACGATATACTCCAGATTTCTCCTTCTCATCACATGACCAGTTGAATTTAATCAAGAATTTCCATGACAGCACTCAGGGGATTCCCATGCATGCTCCGTCCTCATCTTCAGCAGCCAGCGCAAAGTTCCAATACTGATTGTACCGGTCACAATCTGGTTATATGTCTGTCTTGCCATTCCTTTGAGTGTAGTGAGCCGGCCAGACCCTCTGGTTACATCTAGGTGCCTAATTCTTTCCAGGCCATAAAAATCTTGTTTCTCTACTGATACCGTTGTTTTTCCTCAAAGGGACTTGACCACATCTGCCTTGTCATGTATCAATTCACCACCCATTGGTGCAGATCCAGCTAATCTGTCTGCCTGGTCACTACGCCAGCATGGCCTGAAGAAAAAATCCAAAGTATGACATTCCCAGAGAAGCTTGCCACTCTGAATCATCATATGACCAAATAATGTAGATTGTCTCTTTCTGATGCGTTCACCAGTTGCAAACTCCGGTGGAAAATTTTGACTTTTCAAACACTTCTGCACTTTAATCATGTTACCATAACTGCAGTTTTGCAGATCTAGCCTATT